CCCCCCCGCCTCCCTTTTTTTTAAACTGGAATTTTGTTTAAATCAACAGGCTCAATAGAATGGAACCAGTTAGCATGGGATTTGGGAAATTTACAGTTTACAGCATACATTTAAAATGTTGGTTTCTTCCGATACAAGATTCTCAAGTCCATCCGCTGCACTGAGAGACTAATTCCTTGCACACCGGTGGGAGCCCTCCGGACATGTGAGGCTTGCTGAGGTCTCATCTTTAGCGTGTGCGTGCATTCAGCTCACGATCTCGTTGGCTACCCTGTGGCCTACCTTTACTTGCATTCCTATGAGAATTTTTTGCTTTCAGATTTCAGGACAAATTTAGAACCTGGATGGGCTCCCTAACATAGGTAACCCCACCTCCTTAAATCAAGTAGGTGAAAAATTTGGATTATGAGAAATGAAGTTGTAGACTGGGTAGAGAGGGTGAGCTAGCATCTGCGGAGCAGTATTCACGCTAAACTGTCTTTATAAAGCCTGAGACAGTAAGGTGAGGGTGTAATGTACAAAAATCCAAATCACAGCATCGATGCAATGAAAATGGGAGTTGACTTACTACCCTGTAGCCCATTAGGTTGGATGTCTGCTGCTTTAAGCTTCCTCGTGTGTCCCACCTAAGCCCGCTTTATTTTGTTAACAAACGGCCCCTGCCACCAGTCCAGTGCCAACAGGAGTCCACAATCTGGAGTGGGGAAAAGAAGAGACTTTTGAGGTGAACAGTTTTCTAACCAGAGAAACACAGCCTAGGTGGAGACCGAAGAGGGTGCTCTGGCCCTCCCTCCCAAAGGGGAGGCCTCTTTGGGAAAGTTCTTGCCCCGGTCCCTGATGGGTCTATTTCTGTGCCAATAGTGAATGCAAATTTACGCATTTTGATCGGTCCACAAGAACTGTCCTGATTGGTTAGAATCATGGTCCTCATGGAGGTGCTCTGTTTGGTAAGGATGCAAACCAGGATACAGCCCACAGTTGCAAATGAACAGGGCATGTCTCAGTCAATAGGTTGAAAATATGATTCCAGAAACTTAAAGGATTGGCTCGGACGTCAAGAAGTCTCGGCAGCCTGATCTGTTGTGCTTCCCTAAGGTGCAGTGTGTGCGAGAGGCCTGTCAGCAATGGCTGCCGGATTCTGGTTATGAATTTGAGCCCAGTTAACCAGGAGGAGCCCTTCCTGACAGGTATATTTCTTCTCAGAGTCCACAATTTCATTCTTATAACTTTGGTGGAGGTATCATTATTCCCAGTTTTACAGGTGAAGTGGCTGAGGCTCAAATTAAATGATCAGCCTGGAGTCATAGACCCACTTCAAACCTAGAAAAGTTAGAACATTCGTCCAGCTCCCAGGTCTTGTAAGAACAAGGCTCTGGCCCTGAGAGCCAGCAGAGCCAACGGCAGGAGGGCAGAAACCTTTCCGGCTTGCGTCTACATCATCTAAAGTTGTGCCTGACCCATAGCAAGGACTCAATAAATACTGTGTGAATACACGGACAGGTCTGGGTTCAAATTGCTCCACAATATTCTAATTGTGATGATTCTCCTCCAACAGTCACTTCCTTACTACCAGAAGGAAGCCTGGTTTTTACTTCCCTTGTAGTCCTTGATTCTGGAAGGTGAGAGACACCCCTGGCTCTAAGGGGCACCACACAGGCACCCTATGCCCTGAGCACAGTTGTGGAGTAGTGAGAGGCCTAGTTTGGACCATTGAGTCTGGAGAAGGATTTTATACGGGATTTTGGAAAAGATCCTTTTCCTGTTTCTCCTTCTGGATATGTGATATGTGGATGGTGCCGCTGCAGCCCCATTATCCCCCTGAAGAGGGAGCCCCTTATGAAGAGGCAGACAGGAGAGATGAGAAATCAAACTTTTGATGACTGTGTTGGGAATGAAATCAGCCTAGAAGTTTGGGCTTCTCAGTTTTAAGAGCCAGTAAGTTCCTTCTTAAAATATTATTTAAAATGGGGCATAAATATAAAGGTACTTTTCTAAGTGAACTACTGTGGCTTAGTGTACTAGCAGAGTGGTTGTGGCCAGTGAGTTAACCTGAAAGCTTAGCTGCCTCATTTGTAGAGTGGGGATGGTAATAATATCTATCTCCTGGGGTTGGCATGAGGAGCTAATGAAACAATATGTGGTAAGTTTTAGCACAGGACCGGACACAAAGTAGGCATTCAGAAAGGGTTAATATGCTTTCACATTTTGCATTGACAGCAACTTCCTTATTTGCCAACAATTCCTCCAACAACTGGCTGTTAAACTTGGGAAAAGTGTACTGACAAATTGGTAGGATTTGTCACCAAATCACATGGGCACCTTCTGGAAGATGAGCCTGGCTTAAGCAGCAGTGGAGCAAGTGATTCCATTTGCTGTGTGGAGTCCGTCCAGGAAAGAAGGCCACATCTGGTCACGCCGAGCCTCTGGCAGCTCTGAAGACAGGCAACTTTTGGATTTTTAAGTCTGTAAACATAGAATTGAGCTTTTCCTCATTTTCAATGTAGTTTTCTGGTGCAGGATCCAATATTTGTTTGCCTCATCCATGCCCATCAACTCCTGGAGGGTTCTCTCCCACCTGAGGGCTGATCACAGCAGGCCCAGATTCACAGAGATGTTTGGCTGATGAATTGATTCCAGGGGTGCACTGCATAGAGAGGCAACACCCAACCTGGAGACACTGAGGAGTCCAGGGAAGATATGACTTGAGAGGCCTTGGTCAATGAGGAGTAATTGAGTAAGGAACCACAGAGTCTTAGGAGCTTAGAAACAAGTTATAATAATTTTTTTTTTTCCTTCCTGGCAGCCTGAGGGATTCTGCGTGGAGCAGATGGTGGGGTGTCATCCTCCACTCTCCTTCCTGGATGAGGGTCATCTGCCTCATCCAAGGCAGGGCAGAGCAGGACAGCTGGGAATCAACACCCAAGAGCTGCCCTCAACAATGACACATGGGGATGGAGAAGAAATATATCAGCTTTCATGCCCTGGAGGGGACATCTCTGAGGTATGCCCTACACTGTCCCCTGAATCTCCCCAGGGACTGGCCCCAGTCACCCTCATCAGTGTCAACCTGGCAGTGTCAACCCTGTGCTGGCTCTTCCCCATGCCCCTAACAGGTGTGTCTTGGGATCATCTGCTTGCGTTTGAATGATTGTCTCAGGTCCTGCTGCTGGAGGAACCCAGCCTAAACAGTGATCCAGAAGACAGAATTTTCTCTCAACATGAAAGTACTGGGGAATCTCTAGAGGGGTTCTCCTGGTTTCTTGAAGGGTCAGTACCTCAGTTACCAGGTCTGTTTTGATGGCAGGCAGCAATAAATCCAAACACATTTAACACTAACAAATTATAAGTAGAGGTTCTCAAATTTGAGGGAGCATCAGAACCCCCTGGAAGGCTTGTTAACTCACAAATGCCAGAGCCTCACTCTCAGAGTTTTTGCCACAAGTAGAATGGGGTGAGGCCAGGGTTTGCATTTCTAACTAATTCCCAGGGCATGTTGGAACTGCTGGTCTAGGGACCACACTTTGAGAACCACTGCCCTTGATTAGAGGACCAGGACTTAGAGGTCTCTGGGGTGAGGGCTAGAGGGAAATGCCATTGAAGTAGAGGTTTCCTAGTTTTTGCTGATAAAAAGGAGCCTCCAGGCCTGGCCAGTGTTCTCAATGGTTGGCGCATCAGCCTGTGAACTGAAGGGTCGTAGGTTTGATTCCTGTTCAAGGACACATACCTGGGTTGCAGGTTCCATCCCTGGCCCCGGTCAGGGCACCCGTGGGAGGCAACCAATCGATGTGTCTCTCTCACATCATGTTTCTCTCTCTCTCTCTTCCCCTCCCTCCCACTCTTTCTAAGAATCAATGGGGAAAAAAACATCCTTGGGTGAGGATTAACAATAATTATAATAAAAAAACAGCCTCTAAATCCACACCTGGAATCCTTATGTCTCTCATGATTTTAAAATATTAAACCAAACATTATTTTCCACTTCCCTGACAATCAGTTCAGACCCAACTATTGAGTATAATTTTCTCATGTTTGAAGTTTTCCGGACATGTCCAGTGCTTAGGTTCTGAGTTGCTGTTCAAAGCAGCTGCCACATGAGTGTGGGCTAGACTTTGGAAAGAGCTGTTCCCTGCTGCCGGTTAGCTTTTCTCGTCATGAAACGAAAGTGTTCAGTTTCTAGATCAGACATTTGAAAATGTTGCAGAGCCCAAGAATATCTCTTGTGTATTGGCGGGTGTGCTGAGGAAAGTAAATATTTATTTCACTAGGAGGAAGTCTTAGAAGCCTCCGGAAAGTAAATGTTCTGCCTTTCCAAAGCGGTGGGACTTATAATTTTGGTGCTATTTAGAATCTCTGAGCTGCTTTCTCAAAATGCTGCTTTTGTTAGTGCTTTGGTAAAGTGTTTGGCATTTTGAATTTTGGCCCAGGGATGGTTTCAAGGCGATGGATGAACAGTGTACAATGGGAAAAAATGACAAAATGATGAGTGGGCAGAAGGATTAGCTTAGGATGACAGCGGGGTCATCCTCACCTCCATAGTCCTGGGAGGGCCTGGCTTTCCAGGGGTGAAGAAGGGGCCTGTCGGTGAATGTCCAGGTGGTTCTCCCTACTTCCGAGTAACTCTTCTGTCCTCCACCCTAAGTGGAAGCAGCGGCTGCCTTTAATTAATTTATTTATTTATTAATTTTTAAAAATATATCTTTATTGATTTCAGAGAGAGGAAAAGAGAGGGAGAGAGAGATATATAGAAACATCAATGATGAGAGAGTCATTGATCAGCTGCAACCGGCAACCCGGGCATGTGCCCTGACCAGGAATCAAACCCCGATCACCTGGATCCTAGGTCGACGCTCAACCGCTGAGCCACGCCCGGTTGGGCTTTAATTTAAAATGTTAAGTCCATCCTGGCTGCCTGGCTCAGTGGTTGAACGTTGACCCATGAACCAGGAGATCAGGGTTTGATTCCTGGTCACAGCACATGGCAAGGGTTGAGGGCTCGGTCCCCAGTAGGGAGCGAGCAGAAGGCAGCTGATCAATGACTCATCATTGATGTTTCTTTCTCTCTCCCTCTCCCTTCCTCTCTCTGAAATAAATAAAAACATATTGAAAATAAAATAAAATAACAGACATGTCTATAGAATCACTATATATTTTAAAAAATTAAAAAATGTTGATTCCAGCCCTGGCTGGTGTTGGCTCAGGTGGTTGGATGCTGTCCCATGCACCAAAAGGTTGCTGGTTCGATTTCCGGTCAGGGCACATGCCTGAGTTGCAGGCTCGATCCCTGGTAGGGGGCGTGCAGAAGGCAGCCAATCAGTGTTTCACTCTCACATCAATATTTCTCTCTCTCCCTCTCCCTTTACTCTCTCTAAAAATCTGATGGCTGTGGCGGGGGCGTCAACATTCTGTTGAATGAAAGTGGTGAAGGTGGACTCCTTGTCTTACTCCCCTTCTTGAAGGACACGCGTTTAGCTTTTCCCCGCTGAGTCTGGTGTTGGCTGTGGGTTTGTCACATGTGGCCTTTATCATGTTGCGGCATGTTCGCTTCATCCCCACTTTGCCAAGAATTTTTCTCATAAATGGATATTGGATTTTGTCAAGTGCTTTTCTGCATCTATTGAAATAATCATATGATTTTTGTCTTTCATTTTGTTTATGTGGTGTATCAAGTTAATTGATTTGTGGTTATTATACCAGCCTGGCATACGAGTCTTTTTCCATCCAAAACCCCAGCTCTCTTCACTGGGAAACACTGCCCCTTGATCCTCAGATGCAAATATGCATAAAGTTATGGAAACCTGTGATGTGACCTTTGCGAAGTGAGTGTGATGGTGAGAACTTCTCGCAGGGAAGGATGACGTTTTTCTTCTGACCAAGTTACACAGGATAGAAACTGCTCCTTAGGTAGCATGGGAGAGTTAAAGGAGTGCAGCGCCTGGATGGAAGGCCTGGATCCGAGTCCAGGCTTTGACACTTAGCTGTGCCTCCTTAGCAACTTCCCTAAGCCTCAGGTTATTTATCCGTAGATTGAGAATGGAGATGTGGTCAATTTAGGGCCATGGGCTTTGTGAGGACCAAGATGAAATAAAGTGTCTGCTAAGCATTTGTAGAAACTATGAAGCCCTGTGTGATTGCAGCCTTTGATATTGGCCATGTGGATATGAAGAAAAGCTGTCCAGATGGAAATGCTGTTCACTAAAGTAACTGGATGGATTTTCTGCCCATATTACGTAATAGGGCTTCATTTTTGCTATCGGAAATGAGTGGCCAACACTGACTGTGGGACCCTTGCCTCATGGAGAAATGAGAAAAGGCATATGCTGGAGCTCAGCATGGAAATGAGCTTCTTCCTTCTGGGATGGGATGGGTGTGGTGCCCATTGTGCTGGGCCAGGAGGAAGGGCAGGGTCTGGAGGAAACAGGAGAGCTGGCCCATCTCCTCCCCAACCTTTGCTGGTTTCACTGGAGCCAGAGGCACAGTTTCTATGTCCATTAAATCTGTGCCCCCAGGGTCAGCAATGCCTCCCAAGTCTTATCAGTGGTGAGTGACACTGGAGGACAGACTGTGACAGAGGACAGTCAGCTGTTTGAAAGAACAGGATGGAAATGTTTGGAATAGGCCTTCCAGGGCCGAACACTCAGTTTTATTTTCCCAAGTTGTTCTTGTTATTAATGGCAAAGGCAGAGTGATGTGCCTGAGGGTGTGTGCTCCTGGGTGCTTCAACCTGTGACCCTTTCCTGAGCCAGCCCAGATCTGACGGACGGTTAGAGTCACCACGAAGTGAACACTCAATATGTTCATCCCTTTCTATGCATTTTCAGTGGTGTCTCTATTTTAAGGTGAGGAGGCTGAGGTTTGGAGGGATGCAGCAGCATCAACAAAGTTAGGTATTTACTAAGTGGAAAGACTGGGATCAGAACTTGGGGCATCAAGGCCCAGGCTCTTCGTTGTCGGTTCACTTTGAGTGGGGGGCGTCTCATCACCTCCTGCTAAGGGAGATAGCTTCTTATGTGGATTTCTGCTTACACATCCAATGTAGGCTCCATGAGTGCTGGATTGAATAGTGTCCCCCAAATTCACTTCCACTTGGAATCTCAGAATGTGACCAAAGAAGGGCACGTATCATAGAGCCATTGTAGGCATAATTAGTTACCACAAAGTCATACTGGAGTGGGGTGGCCCTTAATCCAATATGACTGGCGTCCTTATGATATGAGAAGAAACACAGAGACAACACAGGTAAAGAGAAGGCCATGTGCTGATGGGGCAGACATCAGAGCCATGCAGCCACAAGTCAAGGAACAGTTGGGGCTACTGGAAGTTGGAAGAGGTGAGGAAGGATCCTCCCGTAGAGACCCTGGTAGGAGCGTAGCCCTGTCAACACATTGATTTTGGACTTGTAGCCTCTAGGACTCTGAGAGAATACATTTCTGTTGTTTTAAGCCACCTACATTTGTGGTTATCTCACAGCTGCTTTGGGACACCAATACACCCACTCAGCACTGTTTGGAGATGACCTGGTCAGAGTGCTGGCCTGTTGGGCCATATCAGATGAAAACTTTCCTTCCTTGCAACACCTGCTCTTGGGTTGGCCCAGAGTTTATATTGCACATGGCTGCCCACCCCTGGCTGCCTTTCCTATTTGACTGTGGAGGTGATGAGTCACACCTCTTCCTCAGAAGGAAGGAAACTTCCATGACCTGAGGTTATCAGAGGCACAGGGCTGGACCCCCAGGCTCCCGTGTGTGACCTTGGAGAGGCCAAGCCAAGCGGTTCCCCCAGCAGAGCCATGGGTACCTCCAGAGACAGACCCTGGGGACAGTTCTGGCAAAGGAAAGCTAAGCTTCGAGCCTGTGGCCGCCAGCCCTTCTCTGAAGGACCTTGGGCCCACTGGAGTTCCACACAGCCCGTCTCAGGCTGCGTGGGAATCAGATTGCCAGCATTTGTGATTTAAAATCTGGGGGAGACCCACTGCATAGAAGCGTTTACAACCAGCCTCCTGAGCCCACTGGAGACCCCAATTCTGTTCTGAATTCCATAGATAGAACACCCCCCGTCTGACTTTTATGATGTTTTCTTGTGACTATTGTTTTGTGGAGAACAGCTTAGAGGTTTAGTGAAGAGGCTGTCCCAATTGGGTGCTGAAGGTGTAAGAAATGTGTTTTCTCCACAGATGGTGGGAGTGTAAACAGAGCCAGCTCATCTGGGTGAGTTGGTAATACCCACTGCCATGTGCAGGACCAGTGGTCAGATAGTTTCACCCAGGGAGTCCCCTTCTAAGAATTTATCATAAGAAGTAACAAGTGATCCAGGATATGTGCATACTGTTGTTCAGAAAGACGATTAAAATATTCAAAACAGAAGTGACACGTGTTTAATACACTGTTTAACACATTTTACACGATACACAGGTGGGACTCTCTCCTGCCAGGTGACGAAGGGCCGCACATGGGATGGTGAAAAGATTGGATCATCCAAAGCCTGTAACATGGACACTGAGAGCAAACCTTCACTGCTACATGTGGGAAAACTATGGGGCAGCAATTCTGAAGAATTTATGAGAGAGAAAGCAGAGAGGAAGCAAGAGCAGAGGAAGCCACAGCCCCAACACTTTCTGAAGGCAAAGTCTCAGGGGTAGGAGCTGTTGGAGTTTCCCAGCTAAGGGCTGTTAAGAAGCTGATGGAGGCACCCAATGTCCTTCAGGGAGTTTTATGTGGGGAACTGAATCTTAAAGCCCCTGCTGGTCAGCCCCTTCCTCAACGAGACAGTATCAGTGGGGCGAGGGTCAGAGCAACAGGAACCCCTACACCCAGTAGGGAGGAGTGGGAGGAAGGCATCTTCCTCATCTCCGTCACATCCAGCATCAGCAGAGCAACTCCTGCTTTAGGCTAAAGTCGGCACAGTAGCCAGAGGGAAAGGATCCTCAAGTACGTAGGTGAGCACATCAGCCCCCATAAAACACAGGTACTGGGCTCAACAAATGGAAACAACACTTGAGGAAACAGAGCAAACAGAACGTGACTTTAGCATGTGTACACATGATACAAAGAAACAATGGCATATGATGAAAGAAGCTTTTCGGATGTGTGGGGAGTCCTGGTATATTCAATAATGGTACTTCAACTCGATTGTGATACATAAACCTTTGGGGAAAATTAGATTCCTCTTATATCTTATATTATTGTTTGTAGAATGTATTTTTGAGAAAGAAGTATAAAAACCAGTCTGTAGTTGGTATGCATATAACACTGATGTAAATAAAGCAAATCCATAAAGATTATTATGGAAAAAAATTGAAAGTTTGGATTACATAAAAAAAACTAGTTTTTCTCTCTGACTAAAGGCATTATAAGCAAAGTTATGGGACATTACTCTCCCAGGTTTCACATGTCTTATATCTTATATGATATATAGATTTAATACAAGACTTTTAAAAAATGTTCAGAAATTATTTTACCCCCAGCTGGCTGGAACATTGTCCCATACACCAAAAGTTGGGGGTTCGATCCCCGGTCAGGGTGAGTACCGGAGGCAGCTGATTGATGTTTCTCACATTGATGTTCCTCTCCCTCTCTCCCTCTCCATCTCCCCCTCCCTCTCTCTCTCTCCCTCTCTTTCTCTCTCCCCCTCTCTCCCCCTTCTCCCCTCTCTCTCCTTCTTTCTCTCTCCCCCTCTTCTTCCCTCTCTCTCTCTC